GTTGTGTCACTTGAAGACACCATATATGGAATCTGGCTGCTGAAAAGCGAACTGTTGGAATCAGCAGATGGCATAATGATTATGTTGCTGGACTCAGACATGGCTGTGCAAGTTGGAATCCCAGATCCAGAGGCTTGAAACTCACGCCAGGCACATGTCAGTGTATGCCCAAATCCTGAGAAGAGAATGGAGGAAAAGGGATTGCAGTGTGGCTATCCCTTCTTGCTACCTGTCTCTCTCTGTCTCTCCAGCGAGCACATACACCCTATAGCAAAAAGAACAAAAAAAAAAAAAAAAAAAAGGAACTGTGTAATAAATTTCCAAACAGTCAAATGGTATTCTTATACACTGGGTTGCTAAAGCTGTTAGAAGAAATTTCTAGATCCAAGAGAATCTGGCAATGCTATCTGCATGAACACTAATTTTTATCTATCCTAAATGTTAAGATACATTTTTGACTAAAAAATATTTGTACAGTAGACGGGGAAGTGTCTGGTGAGCTGGCCAAGAGAAGACAGATCAACTGACAGGCAGGTTGTGGCTATTCTGACACTCTTAATATTAAAAGTACCTTATTTCCCCCCCACTTTGCAGACAGATATATTGTGAGGACATTTGGAGGTCCCCAAGTCATAGTCTCAAGGTAGACAGGAGATACAACATCTGTCCTTTCCACCTCCAAAAGGTTTTACTCTTTTCATGGCCTCTCTTATCCATCTCTAAGCCAGTCAAGGGCATTCTGGAACATTTGTGGGTTTCCCAAGACACTGCAATCAAATAGTCATCTCCCTGGCTCAGCAATGGCTCTATGAAAGCATCACTGGTAGCACTGTTATGGTATAATGACTTGTCCTCCAAAGTTTCGTGTTTTGAAATTCGATGTTGGAAGGTAGTGAGGGCTGGTAGGGAGTGACTGATCATGGTGCCTGGATCATGGGGGCATCACCCTCAGTTCTTTCAAGAGCAGCTTGTTATAAAAGAACAGCAGGACTGGCCCCTTAGTCCTATAGTTAAGGGAATCAGATCCCACATGACTGACCACACAGTTCCTAAGTCCTAGACTTGGCACCTTTAAAATACTCCAGATACATGTGCATCTATGCCCCAGATCTCAAAAGGATGAGGAAGAGATTGCAATGTGACCTTGCCCCATTAGGGGTGCTTTCTTCCCCTCTCTCTCTGGCAACTAAAAAAAGGAGAGAACAGCTCCCTCACTACTCACACCTGCCATCTTCTGTGCTTCTGCTGGCCACATCGTAGGCTATCCTAAAGCCTTTGGACTTCCCAGCTGCCAGGACAGTGAGCCAATGACCCTGTATTTCTTTTACTTTCTTCTTTTTTTAAAATATTTATGCTATAGGGTGTATGCATTCACCAGAGAGAGAAGGAGAGGAAGTGAGAAATCACCCCCCAAGGGGGATGGCCACACCATAATCCCTTCTCTTCCAGTCTCCTCTTAGGATTTTGGGCATGTGTGCGCATGTGCACATGTGCCCAGCGTGATTTTCAAGCTGCCAGGTCCAGGACTTGAGCCACACAGTCGGTCATGTGGGATCCAGTACCTTAACCTCCACACCACCTGCTGGCCCAATGAATCTCTATTTCTTTTTCTTTTTTTAAGATTTTTGCTATAGGGCATGTATGTTCACTAGAGAGCTAAACAGAAAGGGAGAAATCACACCTGATGGGGACTGGCCATGCCAAAATCCTTTCTCCTGCATTCTCCTCTTAGGATCTTACCAGGTCCAGGACTCAAACCACAGTTGGCCATTTGGAAGTCCAGTGAGATAACCATCATGCCATCTGCTGGTTACAGTACATCTCTATTTCTTAATATATCATCGTGGGACCAGTAGGTGGCATAAGTTACGTCGCTGAACTCTCACATAGTTGAACGTGGTTCAAGTGCCAGACCTGGCAGTTTAAAACAAACTGGTGCATGTGCTTGCATGGCCAAGAGGAGAATGGAGAAGGGAATATGGCGTGGCCATCCCTTCCAGGGAGCAATTTCTTTCTTTCTGTTGCTCTGGCAAGTGCACATGCCCTATAGCAAAAATCTATCTAAAAAAAAATTAAAGAATGAATAGTAGGACCGGCAGGTGGTATGGTAGTTAAGAGCACTGGACTCCCACATGGCCAACCACAGTTCAAGTCCTGGACCTGGTGGCTTCCTTTCTCACTTTCCCTCTGTCTCTCACAGGTCAAATTGGAATATAATAATAAATGAAGTTAAAATAATTATTTTTAAAAAAAGAATGGAGGGACTAGCAGTTAGCGTAATGGCTATGTCGCTGGACTCCCACGTAGTCGACCACGGTTCGCATCCCGGACCTGGTGGCTTAAAACTCACACCGGGCACGTGTGCGTGAGTGCCCAAGATCCCGAGAGGAGAATGGAGGAGAAGGAATTGCGGCGTGACCATCCCCCCTGGGGGGGGTGATTTCTCGCTTTCTGTCTCTCTGTCTCTGTCTGTCTGGTGAGCGCACATGCCCTATAGCGAAAACCTCTCCAAAAAAACAAAAAAGAATGGATAGAATGTGGTAGAAATGGCAGGGTCGGACGCCTGTGTACTGGATACTATGGGAAGAGGCTAAGTTGGAAAAGCACTAGAGAGGGTAAAGCTGGGGCTGAGTTGTCTTGAGACAGTCTTGATGAGGATGAAAGGAGGAAGGGTATCACAGGGAGAGTATGGTCAGATACTCTCTAGAAACAGGCCTCAGAAGATAGGCTGCGACCTGAAGCACCCTCAGGTTATCTTGAAGTCAAACACTGAAACGCTGACTGATCCTTACCATTCCCTCTAGCCTGGACAGTACAATGGACGGCCCTATCTACATGTGGACCAGCTCAGAGACACCCACGCTTGAGTTCATGCCCCCTCCCACAGCTATGTTCCTAAGTTCTTCCTGGGGCTCCCCGATGGGGCAGCAAACACAAAGCTCTGTGATACAATCACACATGGGAAGCTTCCCAGATCAAGCTTGGAGACCTCCCAAGGTACACTGAGCATGTGCCTGCCCGTATCTGGGGCTGGCTGAGGCTAAGGGTGGGAATAGACTAAGGCATTGGGGCACTACTGAGGTGCTGTCTCTCACTCACAAAGAAATAATCTTAAAAAAGAAAAAGAGGGAGCCAGCAGTTAGCGTAATGGCTGTGTCGCTGGACTCCCACGTAGTCGACCGCAGTTCACGTCCTAGACCCGGTGACTTAAAACTCACGCCGGGCGCATGTGTGTGTGTGCCCAAGATCCCGAGAGGAGAATGGAGGAGAAGGGATTGCGGCGTGACCATCCCCCCTGGGGGGTGATTTCTCGCTTTCGGCCTCTGTGTCTCTCTGTCTGTCTGGCGAGCGCACGTGCCCTATAGCGAAAATTTCTCAAAAAAAAAAAAAAAAAGAAAGAAAAAGTTCTGCCATTTCCATCTTATTTCATTTCTGTGACAGTTGATATCTGGCTGTC